CAAAGAGTTGTGGGGAAGGGCCCATGTAGGATTGGAACAAAGAATGTTCCACATGCCCCACAAAGAGACAGGCATAAATGTACCTATGGCAATATCCTTGACCTGAAGAAAGTGAGAGGAGTTGAAAGTGAAGTTGCTCAAAGTAAGGATGAGCTCGGCCAGGCAGAGGAGGTTGGTGGTGGTGGGACAGGTCTGGCCTGTTTTCCAGGCAGAAGTGGAGAGCCTTGAGACTATTCTGATGGGGGATGGACGTATAAAGGGTTTGCATGGTGAAGAGGAGGCAGCTGGAGCTCGCAATCTGGAAATTCTGAAACTGATGTCGAGTTTTTAAAAAAATATTTTTGACTATTTGGCTATTATTTTGAACTGATGGGTGTAACTGAGAGTGTTCCGGATGATTCACAACAAGAGCAGACGATTTGTTGAACTGCCCACATATAAAAGTTTCAACATGTTTGGAGGATGCAGCTGCAGTGCATCAGAGTTTGCTTCTCAAATAGCCAGGTCATGATCAAACAGGCAGTCTGGCTGATCGGATGTGCAAATTGCACTCTCATGTCCAGAGGTGACCAGAGATGCTCACTCTTGTCATTCATCAAAAACACAGGAGAGTTCGGCTAAAAGTGAGAGGGTCAGATCAAGTGATGAAGTCTCTTTATCAGGGCTACAGTGTTGTTTCTCCTCTTCTGGCTATGGCTGGAAGGCAGCATGTCTCGGTGGAGTGAAAGTAGGAAATTGGAAAGGGGAAGATTGAATCTACCTTATCTGCAGCTTGCTTATCATGCCAGATAACAAGATGAGAGTGAACAGGAAATTCAGAAGGGGTGAAACAGAGGAACTTTATGGCATCCACAATATACTCAGTGACAGCAGATGCTACAGGCATGAGGATGGTCCCATGATATGGAGCACAATCTTGTCCATAGAGCTCACAAGACATAGGCATTCAGGTTCTACATTGCTCCCATTGTTTATGGGCCATCATGGTGATGGTGATGGTGATGCTGTCTGAAGGTGTACCCATTGATATTAGTCACCCATGTGAGATTAGGAAACTTCTTATGGCACTGCCATTAGGGGCTAGACTCTGGGCATTAATGTACATGCAGAAACATCACCACTCTTCCTGTTGACCCCATCACTGAGGTCTCTAGCCAGTGACCCTAGGAGTCCTCTCTCCTCTAGTTCTTTATCTGTACAACTCCTATCTACAGCCAATGTCAGTGCAGGCAGCTGGTAGCAGCTCACAGCTCCCAGTTGCTCATGAACCCCTTGCCTGTGCGCCCAAATGATGGGATTAGAACTATTTCGTTATTATTCTCTTGTGCATTTACACCAAGAAGAGTGAGGCAGAAGAGAGATGTTTGAAAAGCAGCTTCGGAAAAGCAAGTCAAATTACTGAATTTAAAGGGAGGCTTGCTACATTCTTGAGACTGCATTCAGTAGAAGAATACAGTGGCAGGGTGGGAGGTGTCTTATGTGGCATTTAAATACAGGGATTGCTGTATGGGACTTTTTGCACAGCTTCTATACAGTGTGGGTCTTGCAGATTCTATACAAATCTATATGGAACTGTGAGAACTTTATGCTATTGTTTTCTTCTATAAAGGGTCTAGCTTAGAAGATGTTTCTGGATTTCTCGAACACATGGTTAAATATCCCTTGCTGGAACTATTCACATGGTCCAAGAACAGTAAGTGAAAAGGGGGAGAATATCCATCATCATATTTTGGAGCAGGTCAGTTTGATCCACGAAAGAAAGTACCAAGCAGGCGAAAAATTATATGACGCACTCGACAATGAAACACTATCCACCATTCACAAGGAACTGGAGCTGCCTATGGAAAACGTCAATGTTAACCGTGAGAATCTGATCAATCGTTTGGATCAGATATATGACGCCGCCACCCATCAGGTGGAGGAAGTCTACAACGTTACCGCTCCTATCACTGGAAACTTAACAGATTCAAGAACTGAACGATTATTTTACATCTGTGGTTGACGTGGCTTGATAAAAATTGCGGAGATCGCAGCAAAGTCGGCTTAATTTAAAAAAAAAGTGCTCGATGGATTCTGACTCCAATGAGGCTCACAAGGGACGGAGAATAATGAATTAAATTTTCAACCAATCATAATGTAATCTGCTCCCATAGTACAGTGATATCGGTAATTAATATAAGTATATTCCAACTGTTGTCGGATGAAATAAATAATTATGCTTTCCCAACAAAGTATTTCTGTGAATGTGCAGCCCTAATATACACTACCTGTCGACTCTTTATGTATTTCTTGCGCAGAGAATGATCTTTATTTGAAGGAGAAGGAAAGAGGGGAAGGGTGGATGGTGCCCTTTCTGTACTGTCTCTATTAACTCTGCAATGTTTCAACTGAGATAATGCACTGGAAAAAATATCTCTCGATGCTGCATTATCGCACTAACCCTACCCCCCACTCACCTCAGTCAAATTAAGTCAGAAGAAAATCTGTGTCTGGAACGAATAACCACCTGTAAGATGCACTGAAGCATTTCACCCAAGTTCCTTCAACAACACCTTTTAATTCTGCAACTTCTACCATCTAGAATTGAATAAATAGAGGGATTCGGATCATGTGCAGGCAGATGGGATTAGCTTAGAATTCAAGCATCATGGTCTGCGCAGACACAGTGGCTGAAGGGACCGGTTTCTATGCTGTATTGTTCTCTATTGTACTCTGAGTTCTATGTAGAAGGACAAGGGTAGCAGATAAATAGGAACATGAAGTTCCCCTCCAAGCCACTCATCGTCCTGACTTGGAAAGATATCACTGTATAATTTTGCTGTGTCAAAATCCTGCAAGTCCCTCCCTAACATTATTGTGGGTGTCCCTCTACATCAAGGACTGCAGCAGTTCAAGAAGGCAGCTCAGCACCACCTTCTTAAAGGCAATTAGGGATGGCAATAAATACCGGAGTAGGCAACGATGCCCGCATCCAGTGAATGAATAAAAAAAAGTGGACTAGCAAAAAAAATCACCAGCAATTAATTAAAGCAGGATTTTGCATGCAACAACATGCTATGTCAATATTTTAGTAACTGCATTTATGTTAACTAGTAGGTGTGCAGAATTGCTTTAACGTCATCAAATGTTGCAAAGGGATTTTGAATAATTTCAGTAGTCTATGTACTGTTTTAACTGTATTACTCAAAAAAAAGAGAAGCAAGAGTCATTTGTCCTGAGTTGTTGATTAAAAATAAGTACTCAATGGTCTCTGCATGCTGCATTTGTAAATACGTACAATCTGGGTTAATATCACCAACGTCCTCAGCATCCTCACACTGGGTTCGTGAAAACTCCGAGATCCAGACCATGTGATGTTTTGCTGCGTCACTGAGACCTCTTCCATCCTCACCATTCATGCCTCAACACATTTGCTGCTGAAAACCTCCTATCCTTTGTCACTTCAATGCTCTTTCGGTGGGCACTCGCCTTCCCCTATAAATTTGAGCTGCTTGTATTCTAACTGGCACTTCCTATTCATGCATCGCCCCTATCTTTGCTGACTCCCATCCGATTCCAGTCAAGGAGCACCTCAATTTTTACATCACCCCAGCCGTACTATGTTCTTATGTGGCTCAATATCAAGCTGTGTTTAGTGTTTCGGTAGGTTGTGAGGTTTTACTATTGTGAAGGTGCTATATAAATGTACATTATTGTTGTCTGATAGTGAACAAAAATATGGATTAAGGATGAACACCGAAGAGACGAAAACAATGGTGGCCGAAAGGAATACGTTAGAACAGACAAGAATGAAGTTTGAAGTGGATGGTGTCCTGAAGTAATCTGTGATTATTTAGGACAAATTGTAACGGAAGATATTAGACATGGTGCAAAAATTAGAAGGACAAAGAAAGCCAGAAGTAGTTTGGTGGAAGATGAAGGGTATATTACTTACAAAAAAACTCAATCTTGTAAACTGCTAATTTGTATCCACTTCCCTGATTACCTCACAAAGCTGGACATCAAGATATATGAGAGAAATTGGAGACCTTTGAAATGTGGATGTTAAGACGTATGCCAAAGTTGCATAAAACAAACGAAAAAGAGTTTGAAATTGCAAGAGCAAAATGAACTTGAAAGTCTGATACCCAGAAAAGACAGCATTTAGGTAAGCTGACCAGTGTGGAAACGTTTACAGAGATCTGTTCCAGAGGGTAAAGCGGAGGGCATCAGAAAGGGGATCCGACCGAAATGTAGTTGGAGGACAGATGTCGCAGAGGGGCTATGGATAAAATCCTGCAGCAAGATGTCGCAATTCTGACAAGTGTGGCCATTGGCAGCTGACCTTCTGGCAGGAGTCGCTACAAGCAGCAGCAGATCCCTGTGAGGATAGTAAATAAGGCCGCGGATGCTGTAAATCGGAAACAAAAACAGAAATTGCTGGAAAAGCTCAGCCAGTCTGGCAGCATCTATGGAGAGAAATCAGAGCCAACGTTTCAGGTTAAGTGACATTCTGAGGAAAGGTTTCTCAATTTGAAACGTTAATTCTTCTCTGCAAGATGCTGCCAGACCTGCTGAGCTTTTTCAGCAACTTGTTTTAGTGTCAGCAAGAATGGTGTGGGCCCAATCTGTGTTGCATTTAATCATTGAGCTTTTGGGTCTTTAGACCAATCTTTGTGATGGAGATTTTCTAATAGGCTTGGGTCATGCAGCCAATTACGTTTGACCTTATCCTCTTCTTTCTAAATCTGATTCTAACCTTCACCTCTCGCAGCATTGGGATCAGAGGATTCTTGCTATGATCCAAATGACAGGACTGTTCTCGGTTATTTTAGGGTGATGCAGATAAAATTGCCTACAGCGGTATTTTTTTTCCTTTGGAATTTAATTCGATTGCATTTAGTCTGTACATTCACGATCATCAGCTGATGCAGATTTCGACATTCAATGTTTGCTACAAAACGAAAAAAAAAGCTACATCTGTAGTTTACTGCTCTCTTTATCAGATGGAGCAGATAACAGCAGGTTAATAAACCTCAGGCACGGGAAGTTGGGAAATCAGTTAGAACGGAAGGCCGGAGATTGAAGACCGAGAGGTAAGTGTTTCAGGATCATTTAACAGCGTCACAAGAAGAATTAAAATGCAGTTTTGTTTTGTGGTGCGTGTGAAATTTTCATTTTAATCAGTTCAATTCAATTTAAACCTCTGGATTAAAATAGCAGATTCAATCTCTGTACTGAGAATATGACATTTACAATTGCACTTGATGTCACTGGCCTTGGTGAGTGTGTGGGGGAGAGAGAGTCTTTCGCCCGGGATTTCTCCTCTTGGTCTGCAACAGGCGTGTAGGGGTGCGTGTGTAGGCGCTAGAATGGAACTAGCCCCTATTCTTTCTCGTTGGGTCTCGGTGTTCACACTGTGGGGCGGAGCGGGATACCGGAGGATGAATGATCCGCTGAGGAACCATACAGCCCCGGGGATCAGGAAAGGGGGAAGGGACAAAAACGTGGTATTTTATGAGAAACTGTGGAAACTAGTATGAAGAGGTCTGCTGTTCAGCAACATAAAGCCGAATGATTATTAAACAGTGCCAATGCAAGGAGAGTTTATCTCCCAGATGCTGCACCCTACTCTAAAGGACATAATTAAACCGGTAACTGAGCCATTTTTAAATTGTTATGCAACTTCAGAATGAATAACTGAATTTAAAGTCCCCCAGTCATCGGAGGAAGTTTGAATTCGCGTCCTCAATCTTAATCATGAGCGTTTAGATGTTTGTTGTTCAATTATGTTTTTACCTGACTCTGGAACAGATGGTACGTGAACCCAGGCCTCCTGGATCAGAGAAGCTACCATTGTTCCAAAAAAGCCCTAGCCCGAGCCTTTACTCCAGTGACATGACCACGGTGGTTGGTTCAGTGGTTAGCTCCTGCTGCCCTCACAGCACCAGGGACCTGGGTTCAATTCCACTCTCGGTGACTGTGTGGAATTTGCACATTCTCCCTGTGTCTGTGTGGGTTTCCTCCGTGTGCTCCAGTTTCCTCCCACAGTCCAAAGATGTGCAGGTTAGGTGGACTGGCCATGCTAAATTGCCCGTGATGTGCAGGCTAGGTGGGTTAGCCATGGGAAATACAGGGTTATAGGGATAAGGTAGGGGGTTAGGTCTGGATGGTATGCACTTTTCTGCAGAAGGGTCCCGACCCGAAACGTCAACTTTCCTGCTCCTCTGATGCTGCTTGGTCTGCTGTGTTCCTCCAGCTCCACTCTGACTCCAGCATCGGCAGTTCTTGCCAACCCTGCTTTTCAGTGTTTGGTTGGACCGAATGGCCTGTTTCCGCACTATGGGGATTCTATGACTTGTATGCGCTGTCTCTCTGGCTAGTTATATAGTGTATTGGCTGGTGCAGTTCGATTTCTAAATTTACAAACTTTTCCCCCAAAGTTCAAGTTGGTATAATATAGAATAGTTAGGCTGTTTCTGAATTGTGCACGGATGTGCTTGGTTCCTATCTGGGGTATTTTATCTTGCATTATTAAATTAGTGGCTCATTTTGAATTGTGTCAGATTGTGTAATCACCCGTTAGGAACTGAACTGGACCGATTACGTGTGCTCCAGGAGTCTTTCAACAATCACAGTTGTGAGGGTCGTACAATTGTGCTGGTCACTTTGAAAACCAGGTCCCACTGTCCCTGCTGGGCAGTGCTTATTAATTGTCACTGAGACTTGGGTGATTTAGCGGTAGTTTATTTAACTAAAACGCCCCTGACCTTACTGGTGAGGGCTCCAATCCAGGACACTTTCAGGTGTTGCAGTAAAAAGAAAATAGTACAGATGCTGGAGGTCTATAATATAATCAGAATTTGCTGGAGAAATTCAGCAGGTCTGGCAGCATCTATGGAGAAACAGAATTAACATTTTGAATTCAACAAGATCCTTTTTCAGAAACTTTAGGCGTTGATATAGGATTTGTAGAACTGGGACACCACAGAAAACTAATCAAGGAATGTATTTCAAAGTAGTGTTCTGATGAAAAGTCATTGTGACTTGAACTCAGTACTGAACACTTGTTTTTCTCTCTCTCCACGTGCCACCTGACCTGTTGAGTGCATCCAGCACTTTCTGTTTTCGTAATGTTTCAAGGTTTCGTTTTACGTGGGACAGCACAATTCAAATGCATTTTTGTTTGTGATATTTTGAAGAAAAATGTTGGTTGTAAATCGATAGTTTCTATTTACTCTACTGCTGCTGAAATGATTTGATTATCAGTGTGCACCTCTGACACACTGATAAGAATATTTGTTAATCTGCCCATTGAAAGAAGGTGAACCCGACGGCTGCAATAAGGAAACTCGTGTGGAACATAAACATTGGTCTAGATCAGTTGGACTAAATAGTTTCTATTTGTGTTACACCATGTAATACCATGTAACATCCCTGAACTGAAGTATATTCTTAACCAGTGATAGTATCCAAGATATGATTGATGGTATATATTTTTAATAGAATTTCTGTCACCCAAAACATATGAACAAACTAAATAGGGGCAGAAGTAGGCCATTTGGTCCCTTGAGCCTGATCTCCCATTCAATAAGATCACAGCTGGTCAGTTTGTGTTCCAAATTCCACATTCCCATCTATCCATGGTAGCCCTTGATTTCACAGACAAACAAGAATCCATCCAACACAAACAGAAATTGCTGGAAAAGCTCAGCAGGTCTGGCAGCATCTGTGGAGAGAGATTAGAGTTAGTGTTTCCGGTCCAGTGACCCTTCTTCAGGACTCAGAACAGTTCTGAAGAAGGACCACTCGACCTGAAATGTTAACTGATTTCTCACCACAGATGCTGCCAGACCTGCTGAGCTTTTCCAGCCATTTCTGTTTTTGTTTCTGATTTACAGCTCTTTCGGGTTTTATTAAGCATCTATCCAACTTTGTCTTAAAAACTTTGAATGAACTTGGCTCTACCGCATTCCGAAGCAGTGTTCAAGAGTCGCACAAGCCTCTGAGGGAAAGAAATTCCCATCATCTCTGACCTAAAAGGGTGGCCCCTAACTTTAAAATAGCACTCCCTATTTCTGGAATCAACCACAAGATTAAACATTGTCCCTAAACCCAGTTTGTCAAAACCATTCGGGATCATATAAATTTCAATCAAGTCACCCCTAACTCTTCAAAAACCCAGTGGAAATAAACCCAATCCATCCTCACAAAAAAATCTAGCATTCCAATCAATCTAGCAAAGCTCCTTCGAACTGAATGCAATATGTTTACATCCTTCCTTAGAGACAAAAACTTCACACAGTATTGGAGCTGTGGTCTTACCAATGCCCTATAGCTCAAGCATAACATCCTTATTTTTATGTTCAATTCCTCTCCTAATGAAAGATAGCATCCCATTAGCCTTTTTAATTACTTGTTGTGACTCATGAAACAGAACACCAAGGTTTCTCCACACCTCAGAATTTTGCAGTAATTCTCTGTTTAATGCAATACTCTGCCTTTTTATTCCTCTTGGGAAATGAACATTATACTACATCTGCCAGATTTTTGCCCACTCATTTAAACTATCTGTATCAATCAGCATTCTTTTTATGACATTTCACAACACATTTTCCTACCTGTCTTGTAAATTTAGCACCATGCCTTCAAACCCCTCATCACCGTCAGCGACAGAAATTGTAAAAAGTTTGTCTGGCGCAATTCTCTGTGGGATCCCTGTCATCACATCCTGCCAATCTGATAAAGAACTATTTATGTATATGCTCTGTTCCTTTACCAGCCAAACAGTCTTCTTTCCATACTAATATGTAACCCCACCACCTTGTGTCCTACGTTGCAATATAAAATGTTAATGTGGAACCTCTTCAGATGCCTGTCAAAAATGACCAAGTTTATTGTCTCTGAATAGCAAAGATAAACTTTATGTGGCAGTTAAACAAAGACATTTAGAACATAGAACATTGAACACAGAACATAGAACTATACAGCACAGGAACAGGCCCTTTGGCCCATGGTGTTGTGTGGAACATGACACCAAATTAAACCAATCTCTTCTGCCTGCCCCTGGTCCATATCCTTCCATTCCTTGCATATTTGTGTGCTTACCTAAAAGTCCTTTAAATGCCCTTGTTGTATCTACCTCCACCACTACTCCTGGCAGCACGTTCCAGCCTCCCACCACTCTCTGTGTAAAAAACTTGCCCCTCACATCTCCTTTGAACTTTTACCCTTTCACCTTAAATGTATGTCTCCTAGTATTAGATATTTCTACCCTGGGAAAAAGATTCCGATCAACAACCCTGTCTATGCATCTCATAATTTTATAGACTTCTATCAAGTCTCCCCTCAGCCTCTGCCACTCCAGAGAAAACAACGCAATTTTTTTCTAGCCTCTCCTTATAGCTCATACCTTCTAATCCAGGCAGCATCCTGGTAAACCTCTTCTGCACCCTCTCCAATGCCTCCACATCCTTCCTGTAATGTGGCAACCAGAACTGAATGCAATACTCTTAAGTGTGGCCCAACCAAATTCTTATAAAGCTGCAACATGACATCCTGACTCTTGTACTCAATTCCCTGACCAATAAAGGCAAGTTTGCCATATGCCTTCTTTACCACCCTATCTACTTTGAGGGAGCTATGGACTTGAACCGCAAGATCCCTCTGTACATCAATGCTGTTCAGGGTCTTGCCATTACTGTATACATTTCCTTAACATTTGATCTGCCAAAGTGCAGCACCTCACACTTACCAGATTAAACTCCATCTACTATTTCTCTGCCCATTTCTGCAACTAATCTATATCCCACTGTATCCTTTGACAACCTTTTACACTATCCACAGCTCCACCGATCTTTGTATCATCTGCAAACTTACTAACCTACCCATCTACATTTTCATCCAAATCATTTATATATATCACAAACAGCAGAGGTCCCAGTATGGGTCCCTGTGGAACACCACTAGTCATGGATCTCCAGCCTGAAAAGCATTCTTCCACCACTAGAGACAGTAAGAACTGCCGATGCTGGAGTCAGAGATAACAGAGTGTGGAGCTGGAGGAACACAGCAGGCCAGGCAGCATCAGAGAAGCAGGAAAGTTGACGTTTTGGGTTGGGATCCTTCTTCAGAAAATCTTCCACCACTATCCTCCTGTCATCTATGAGCAAGCCATTCTGAATCTACACAGCCAAGTCACTGTGCATCTTAATCTTCTGGATGAGCCTACCTTGTCGAAAGCCTTACTAAAATCCATGTAAACAACATCCATTGCTATACCCTCATTGATCACCTTTGTCACCTCCTTGAAAAATTCAATCAAGTTAGTAAGACATGAACTGCCCTGCACAGAGCCATGCTGATTGTCCCTAATTAGGCCGTGCCTTTCCAAATGTATGTAAATCATATCCCTAAGAATTCTCTCCAATCGCTTCCCAACCACCAATGTTTGATTCACCGGTTTATAGTTTCCTGGATTATCCCTATTTCTCGTCTTGAATGGAGGAACATTAGCTACTCGCCAGTCTTCTGGGACCTCTCTAGTGGCTAGTGAAGATACAAAGATCTTGGTTAAAGCCCCAGCAATCTCCTCTTTTGCCTCTCTCAACAATTTGGGGTAGATACCATTATGCACCTTAATGCTCTTCAAGAGTCCCAACACCACTTTTTTCTTGATCTCAAAATGCCCTAGCATAATAGCATGCTCCACACAAATCTTACTACCTTCCATATCCTTCTCCTTGGTAAATACTGACGCAAAGTACTCATTTAGGATCTTACCCATATGTCTCCCAAGCACAACTTCCCTCCTTTATCCTTGAGTGGTCCTACCTTCCCCATAGTTATCCTCTTGTTTTTAATGAATGTATAGAATGTCTTGGGATTTTTTTTAAGCCTACTTGCAAAGGTCATTTCATGGACCCCCTCTTACTGTCCTAATTCCCTGTTTGAGTTCTTTCCTGCTTTCTTTATATTTCTCATGGACCCTATGTGATTTTAGCTTCCTAATCCTTACGTATGCTTCTTTTTCCCGTTTCACTAAATTCACAACCTCCTTCATTATCCAAGGGTCCCTTACCTTGACATCCTTGTCCTTCCTCTTTACTAGAACATGCTGGTGCTGAACTCTCCCCAGAAGATCTTTAAACAATTCTCACATGTCAAATGTGGACTTGCCTGATAACAGCTCCTCCCAATTAACACTCCCTATCTCCTGCCTAATATTGATACAATTTGCCTTCCCCCAATTTAGTACCATGCCACAAGGTCTTGACTTATCCTTATTCATAGCTGTCTTAAAACATAAGGAGTTGTGATCAATGTTTCCAAAATCCTCTTCCACTGAAAGGTCAGTCGTCTGGCCAGGCTCATTAGCCAATAGAAGGTCCAGTATGGCCCCTCTTCTAGCTGGACTATCCACGTGCTGTTTCAAGACTTCCTAAATTTAATTCTCATAACTATCAATTCCTATAATTAGCCTGTCTGCAATGTGTGTTCCTTCCATAATTATTGCTGCTTTATTGTCTGGTATCAGTGTAATAAACTTGACCCATTGTCCTTTTCCAGCAACTTAAACACAAAGAGCTAAGCCAGTACTCCAGTGCAGTACTAAGGGAGTCAGTGATAACGTCTTTGAGATATTGAACTAATGTCCTTTTGGTTCTCGTGAATGGACATGGCATTATTTAGAAAAAGAAGTCTGAATGATCCTTGTTGTCCTGGTCAATATTTATCCTTCAAAAATGTCAGAGAAACATGTCATCTGGTCATTATCACATTGCTGATCATGGGAGCTTGCAGTATGCAAATTTGCTGACATGATTCCCATGTTCTGAGAGTGACCACATTTCAAACATTGGCTGTAGAATACTGAGAGGTGTTTAGAGGTCAAAAAGTAATATAAATGTTATATTGGCACTTGTGGGACAATATTCTGGAGTTCTGTGCTCCAAGGCTGCAATAGCTGCCTTGAAGTTTGGACTGAGTCTTAAGAATAGCAAAGCATCTTTAAATCCATATGATTTTTTTAAACTGTTGGGTGTGGCCTCACTGAATCTGAGGCCTGATTTCTGCTCCAAAAAGGCAATGGAAAAGGTAGGATTCTTTCTTAAAAAAGCTCTGCAGTTTAAACACTCACTCTGCTTTCACGCCTGAAAGTGGGGTCACAGTGGGAACCATTGCATTATAGGTTTTCTTTTTATGGGTTTTGTGGTCCAAAGCTTGTCATTCGTATAGCAATTAATCATTGAAATTTCAAAATTTAAAACCTGACATTGTCTTTTCACAGGTTGAGAAATTGATCATCATGAAGATATTTGTGGTTACTTTGGTCCTACTCTTGGCAAAAGGTATGTCCAAAAATATTTTTTGATTCTGGCTTTGGAAGTCAAGATACTCTTGCCTGATTCAGAATATTATGGGTCCGAGCCCCACTTTGGAAATGGAGTTTATTTTCTGATACTCTACCAGATTGGCAATAGAAATGTTCAACTCTGGTCTCCTTGCTATAGGAAAGACATTATGAAACTTGAAAGGGTGCGGAAGATATTTACAAGGATGTTGCCAGGGTTGCAGGGTTTGAGCTACAGGGAGAGGTTAAATAGGCTGGAGCTACTTTTGCTGGAGTGTTGGGAGCTAAGGGATGACTTTGTAGATGTTTATAACATCATGAGGGGGTATGGATAGGGTCAATAGCCAAGGTCTTTTTCCCAGGGTAAGGGAGTCCGAAACTAGAGGGCATAGGCTTAAGGTGAGAGGGGAAAAATTTAAGAGGGACCTAAGGGGCAGCTATTTCACACAGAGGGTGATTCGTGTATGGAATGAACTGCCAGAGGATGTGGTGGAGGCTGGTACAATTACAACATTTAAAAGGCATCTATGGGTACATGAATAGGAAAGGTTTAGAGGGGTATGGGCCAGATGCTGGCAAATGGATATCTGGTTAGGATATCTGGTTGGCATGAACGAAGGTCTGTTTCTGTGCTGTACATCTCTACGATTCTATGACCTTGGAATCACAAAAGAAATGAACAGCAGCTGTAGTCTGGGAAGCATGAGTCTTCGTGGGAGGCTGACTAATGTGGCCCAAATTGGCTCCCAATCTATTTGCACAAGTATAACAAGTAAACCAGAAAATAATTATTCAGAACAATTAAAAAAATTGCAAATATATTAATTTGACAAGGATTTAATTTGTAAATTCTATTACATGAATATGAATGGGCCAATTCTAAAAAGGAATATAAGGCAAAGGTTATAATTAATCAATGATTTTGCTGCTGATCACTGTCGTCAAGGATCAAGTCTGTAATTTTGCCCTAGCTCAATACATCTGCTTTTGAAACTGTCATAACTGCTTTCCTTATATCCAGACTAGACTATTTGAACACTCTCTTGGTCGGTATCTCATCTTCCATTCTCCATAGAATGATCACTGCTGATGGTGTGCCTTGCAGGAACTTTTGAGCAACCATAAAATCAGGCTGGGCAATGATATTATCTATGGAGCATGACATTATCTAGTCTAGATATATCTGCCTATAATACCAGGGACTATTGGCAACAACTCAACACAGCCTATCTCCATCATCTCTAGAGAAGAGGGCAGAAAATAAATTGTTATTGAGGATGGCTGAGGTTATTATTCACATGATCTCGGAGATACATGTGGACATTTCTTTTTCTGTTTTCATGACCAGGAATGGAGGCTCATGCCCTTCCAGGTGCAGCAGATGCTGGACCAACCCATGGTGAACACCGCTTGGCTTTGCTAGACTTACGCAATACAACAATGTAAGGACTTAATTTTCTTTTCTTCTACTGGTGTTACCTCTCTGAAAAGAAAGAAAACTTGCTCTTGTATAGTATTTGCATAAATGAAAACATGATTTCCTAGATACCACAGTACTTCAATTGGTACAGGCATAAGTTAGCACAATTTTTTAATATAAAACTGGCATGCTTCTATGAAATAAAACTCTTCAATGTTAAACTATTCAATTGACATTGTAATAAACAATCACATCCATTACATTTTCCCTTCTAAACAGTAGCTTCTGAATTCCAACAGCCTTAATCTCAAGGCATATTGATTGGCAGGGAATTCATAGAACCCCTACAGTGTGCAAAGAGGCTATTTAGTCCATCGAGTCTATACCAACCCGACAAAAAGCATCCCACCCATACACAGCCTCTTCCCATAACCCCGCATTTACCATGGCTAATCTGCCTAGCTTGCATATCCGTGGACACTATGGGGCAAATTAGCATGGCCAATCCACCTAACCTGCACATTTTTGGACTGCGGGAGGAAACAGGAGCGCCCAAAGGAAAAATATGCAGAACCCAATGGAGAACATGCAAACTCCACACAGACAGTCACCCAAGGCTGGAATCAAACCCAGGTCCGTGGGTTTCTGATGCAGCAACGCTAACCACTGAGTCACTATGTGCTATTACCTGTTTGCCTCTTTCCAGTTAGCTGTTCCTTTGTTGGTAGGTCTAAAGTTTACTTTTTCTCTCTTTGCAGCTGTTCTGCCCCATTCCATCATTTGCAGACCCTCTTCCGGCTTTGCAGTTACTCCTTCCCTTTCCAACCCCTCACTGGGACCTCCATCATGGGCTCCCTCTCCTGCTTCGCTTCCCAGCCTCACTAGTTTTGTTCTCCTGACCACCAGCTTAAACTGCAAGCTTAACAAGTAGACTACACCTAACTTTGTACTGGGCTTTTTCAGGACAGGAATTAGACCTCAAAGGCCAGCTATTAGGCCACACTCAATATTTACAGAAATGAGAATTTAAAGGGATCAGTCAGCTGCTCATATTCGTTCAGAGTTCTACAGCAACTATTGGTGTCTTGAAGTTTTTGAGGCTGTAATCCTGACCAATAACCCGACAGTTCAGAAGGTCTAGACTTATGTGAATTAATGTAACTACACCTCTCTTGTTAAGCTGCCGAATTTCATTTTGATTAGCTTAAAATCCTAACAGCAGTGTCACTATTGTTTTTCTCGATCAAGTGAATGTCTAGTCCAAGGAATCATTTTGTTGCCGTACAAACGTACAAACAAGGAACAAGAGTAGGGCATATTGCCCTTCGAGCCTGCTCCACCATTCAATCAGATAACAAGATCATGGCCTGTCAAGAGCAGTCATATTTTTCTGAGGTTTTCATGTTGTGTTCGTCTAGACAATTTAAGAATATCACTGTAAAAAGTAGCAACATGTTATACTGTAAGAAGAGCAAGCATTGATTGTTGACAAAATGGACTCTGAGTAGTGGAGATATTTCCGGGGAGAATGTATTATCATCATCTCCATGGCAACACCCCTACTGATCGGAGTCCACTTAACAGCCATTTAGCGCACTCTTCTTGCATGATAAATTGTCCTCCTTTACAATGGTATTTCTTACGGGTATCCTAATGAGAGCTCAACAAAAAGCTTTGACAAAAATGCATAATTTTTCAGTGATACAGGAACCATATCTTTTCACTTAATTCCCCCTAACTGGGTAGCCAAGATGCAAGAACATCAGTAAACTATTATATAAATCAAAGCCAGATACTGTGGATGTTCGAAATCTGATGTAAAACCATCAAAGTGCTGGAGAAACTCAGCAGGTCTCACTTTTAAAATTCAAGCCCTCCATGGCCTTGTCTCCACACACCCCATACTCCATGAACTTTGTAACCTCCTCTAGCTTTACCACCACCTACAGGCTCTGTGCACATTTAATTCTAGCTTCATATGCCCCCTCCATTTTCTATCCTCAGTGTTGACATCTGTGCCTATCTAAGCCCCAAGGTCTAGAATGTACTCCCCAAACCTCTATCTTTCCCATTTCTCTGCAATCCTTTAAGCTGTTTCTTAAAACCTACCTCTTTGAGCTTGTAATCACCTGCCCTAATTTTCCTTCCTTTAATCCCTGCTGTCATCTCTAATTTGATCACAATGCTGTGTAGAGTGTTGAGTGGTTTTATTATGTTAAAGACCATTATGTTAGTGCAAGTTGTTGTAATGACCAGTGCTGATGATGTTTTGAGTCTGTGGTTACAGCTCTTCAAGAGTCCAATAGGAAATTATAATAACCTGACAATAGTTCACAGAATCACTACAGTAAGGAAAGAGGTCATTTGATATTTGAGCCCACACTGACGCTCTGAAGAATATCCCACCCAGACCCAACATAGCGCGCCCAACCTCCACGCCCCCGCCCACCTATTCCGGCAACCCCGCATTTCCGATGGCCAATCCAGCTAATTATGCATCATTGGACTGAAATTCTGAAGTAGAATCATATGGACTCAAACTGTTAACACTGTTTCTGTCTCCATATCCTGTAGATATTGCCAGGCTGCTTGCGTTTTTCAGCATTTCCTGTGTTTGTTTTAAATATCCCAGTGTATTTCATTGATTCTTGTGTTACCTTTGCGTCAAAGAAAACACTGCCACTTACAATCTGGAAACATAGATTTATGCATTATTTTCTTCCTCCGCAGGAACATCCATAAACTAAATCCCATTTTCGAAAAATTGGCACAGAACATGACCCTGCTGTCGGAAGAAATCCAACAGCAACTTCAAACTTTTAGCACACATCTTCATGAACAGGCAAGTATAGTCAGAGAGAGGTTGAGCTCCCTGTTTGAACAGCCTCCAGTACTACCTGAAGGCATTTCTAAACTGACCAGTCCAAACTTGACCCAACAACTGGAGATTTTGAAGAAAAACATTAGCCGTTTGAGTTTGAACTTCAAGCCTATTTCTCTCAATCAGACTTCAGAAAGGAAGGTTTATCAAGAACTCACAGAGAACATGGAGCAGTTTCACCAATTGTTTGGACCTTTACTTAATTTTTTCCAAGGAACAATCACAGAGGGAGTTGAAAACCTGAGGAATTCCATGGCACCTGGGGTTCATGAAATCAAGAAACTTGTCGAATTGTCCAAATCCGCAAAACCAAGTGGAGAAAAACCAGAATCGCGTTAAAGTTATTTGATGGATTCTGACACCAATGAGGAAAATTAGTGATGGAGAACACAAATTGAACTTCAAAGTAATCGAAATGGGAAAGACCAACCCTGTTCTTTAATCAAAAGCAAACGTTCTGAAATACAGACAGAGAATGATGGAAATGCTCTGCAGGCCAGGCAGCATCAGTGAAGAGAGTGAGACAGAGAATTAATCAATGAAGTTCTGATGACAGGTCACAGAGGGAATATAGAGTAGGCTATCCAGCCCCTCAAGCCTGTTCCACCATTCAATGAGATCATGGCTGAATAATGGCCTAACTCTATATATCTGCTTTTGGCCCGTGTCCCTTAATACTTCTGCTGGGGTGGCGCAGTGGTTAGCACTGCTACCTCACAGCGCCAGGGACCTGGGTTCAATTCCACCCTCAGGCCACTGTCTGTGTGGAGTTTGCACATTCTCCTCGTGTATGCGTGGGTTTCCTTTGGGTGCTCCAGTTTCCTCCCACAGTCCAAAGATGTGCAGGTTAGGGTGGATCGGCCATGCTAAATTGCCCATAATGTTCAGGGATGTGAAGCTTAAGTGAGCTATAGGTGGATGTGTCTGGGCGGGATGCTCTGAGGGTCAGTGGTGACTTGTTGGGCCGAAAGGCCTGTTTCCACACTGTAGGGATTTTATGATTAACAAAAATTTACCCATCTCAGATCATGACCAGGAATCCTGGTTAACTCCGGTTCTCTCTCCACAGGTGCTGCCAGACCTGTTGACCGTTTTCAACCTTTTCTATTTCCATTTCACATCTTATAATTGCAAAGGTATTTACAAAGAACTTGCATATAATAGGCTTTTCAATCCAATGCAAGGTCTATGAAACTTGTTACATCCTCCAAACTTTCCAAAAAGGGAGACGGTGATGTATTGGTAATGTCATTGGACTGGTAATCCAGAATCCTGGATTAATGTTCTGGGGACAAGATTTTGAATCCCACTTTGGCAGTTGGTGAACTCTAAAATTAATAAACAGTCTGGAATAAAAAGTTAGCCCAGTGGTGACTGTGTAACCATTGTCAATTTTTGTAAAAATCCACTTGATTCACTTGAGGAAATCTGCCAACCGTACTCAGATTGGCCTACATCTTAACACTTAACTGTCCTCTGGGAAATAAATGCTGACCCAGCCAGTGAGATCCATATCCCATGAACAAATAAATACTATTCTAACCCCATCAAAATATCCTGAACATAAGTAAAATCAGTTGCCGTGCATCTAATACATTAGATTGAAAGAATTTTGTTTGTCATTTATTTTAAAACTTCCCAATAAAGGAGCTGTCTGTATTGATTCTTGTTGGTGACCATTGAATGTTTGTTAAGCTGGTCAAATTATTTTACAAAATCTGTAAACCTGCAAATGACGTCACATCATTAGAATAAATGTGTAATTCAGAATAACAAATGTGAAAACACAATCTTTTACCTTTCTGTTCGTCTCCTTTTCTCTCTCTTTCACGGTTAGTCTGATTTGGAGGAGGGCTTGTGGGGCAGTATCTGCCTTTGAGCCAGTTGTTCTGAGTTTGAGTCCCACTCCAAGACTTGATGGTCATGGAATCTACATTCATAATGCGACCTGTAGTAACCTGTAAATCCTTCCATAACATACTGAAGGCTGCCAGTGATACTGGAATATGTTCCTTATCAGCCTTGTAAAGGAAGGAAATTGGAGTGTCTGCCATTGGTATCGGTAGCTGCAAGCTGCCACATGCATTTTACAGGTACATTTTGTTGCAGCAATTCTATCTTGTTGGGGAGCTGGTTGATTTAGTTCGCTGGATGGCCATATGTTTGAGATGGATGTCAACATGCACAGGGCTCGATCCCTGTTGTGGCTGCAGTGGATCGGGATCGTGCCTCCTTGCTCTAGCTGCAGTGGAGGACACAATGTTGTGGTTCACATGTGCCTTCAGCAGAGCACTGAGGTAGAAGGCCACCATTAAATTCAGCAACGTTAATGCGCTCATCAGGAGATAATCAGGGTGTCAACCTGCATAGTCTCCTTCCAAAGGAATGGGGCAACCGTATGTTATAAACACCAGTACTCCAATATATTTCCTCTTAGCCTAGCTCCACGTTTGCTGGGCTTGTCCATTAAGTTGGGATGGGAGCCCACTGTAAAGATGATCATTGGGATCCTCTGAAGTTTAGGATCCTAACACCATGCTAAAGAGAACAGTTGGCAGAGCAGATTTGATCAATAGTGTGTGTGTGTTGAGTTGGTTGATCACCTTGAATCCAATCATTTGAAAGCCACAGCTAACACTTGAGGCTGGTAAATAAGTGGAAGTTGCCATGCACAGTCACTGTGGGGTCTCGTGGGCTAGTTTATCATTGTCGCAAGAGGCAGAGAAGTCTTTGCCTGATTATTTTTCTCCAAATTAGCGTGACATTTTTGCCTCCGTGGGGATATTATACAGCTCAGCGTGCAGTGAGGAGTGTTAGAAATGTCACCCTTCAGATTTGATGTTAAACAAAAGCCCTGTCTCTTCCTGTAAAAAGTCCCATATGGTAATTTCTAAGATGAACAAAGAGTTATCCTTGGTGTCCTGTCTGATGCTTATCCTTTAATATCCCTAATATATTTGGACATTATTTGGGATCTTGCTGTGCATAAATTGGCTGCTATGTTTCCTATAACAATGAGTACACCTGTACAATAAATGATGGCTACAAAGTGCTTTCAAATGTGTTGAGGTTATGCCAGGTGCTATATAAATGCAGGTTCTTTCGTTTTGAGGGCACTAATAACCTGTATGGACAGTTGATAAACAGGAACATGGGAACCTGATATCAATCGGTACAGGCCAACAGGAGACTGCCAAAAGCCACCTGCTCAAACCAGATAAACTGCTAGGATTTATAGGCTAAGAATAGTGAATTAAACAAAAACTCTCATCATCATTTTGTAGAGGGGAAAAACATGATTAAGAGGGAATCACAGCATGACTGTAGAATTATAAAACGGAGCTATTCAGTACAAACCTATATCCCTGAATGCTTGAGTTTCTGTTCCAGGTTTTGCAGGGTTTTCTCTCAGCATAACAAGTTAATAAAATATTCCTTTATGTTTTACTCCTGCTGACCTCTACATATTCCCATTATTTTAAAGGGATGAGATCTGAGTTTGCATTTGGTAGGGTCAGCCATGTAGTGATCAGGGAAGCACAAAGCCCGAGTGTGCTATCCGTGCTCATTGTTGAAAACACACACTTTTGCCTCTAATATATTCTGTTCCACATTCTCCAGGAGGGGGCAGCAGTTCCATTTCAGTGTCACAGAGAATGGGAAACTCAAAGTCTTTAATCCCATAAACTCGTCTTGCAGGAGTTATTCTGCGTAAGAATATTTATTCATTCATGAGATGTTGGTGTTGCTAGCTAGGCCAATGTTTATTATCCATCCCGAATTGCCCAGAGTGTAGTTAAGAGTCAACCACATTTCTTGGGTCTAGAGTCACATGTAGGCCAGACTGGGTAAGGACAACAGTTTCCTTCCCTGAAGGGACATTGGTGAGCTAGATGAGTTTTTTGAAAAATCAGCAACAGTTTCCTGGTCATCGTTAGACTCTTAATTCCACATTTTTTTTTAATTGGATTCAAATTTCACCATTTGCCATTTAAGGATTCAAAGCTAAGTTCTCAGAATGTTACCTGGGTCTCTGAATTAACAGTCTAGTGCTAATACCACTAGGCCATTGCCTCTCCAAATACAAATTGATAATGGGGCAGTTACACAATCCTTGAAAACATGTTGGAGTTTAAAAGTGTATTTATTACAATTTTCCTCACAGCGCTAGATCTAAAAGTATTGGTAGACACAAGCTCATAACTAGCTCGAGCACCCAATACTTCACACCATATTAGCAATAACAGCTATTGATAGTGACAGACCTTAAAAGCTCAGTGGGTCTTTCACCAAGGAATGCAGAATAGTTAATAAAAACGAAAAGAATTGTGGATGCTGTAAATCAGCAATGAAAACAGAAGTTGCTGGAAAAGCTCAGCAGGTCTGGCAGCATCTGTGAAGAAAAATCAGAATTAACGTTTCGGGTCCGGTGACCCTTCCTCAAAACAGAAGGTCTTATTAGAACAGAAGACTCCACAGCCAACAGCTCCAGAGGGGACAATAGTACCCAGCCCTGCCGAGTCTTCACCATCCCCCCAGACCTACCCCTTACTGAGGACGAACGGTCAGTCCTCAGTAAAGGGCTCAACTTTGTCCCCCTCCACCCACAGATCAACAAATACCGCTCACGCTTGGACATAGAGCAGTTTTCCCGCCGCCTCCGCCTCCACGCTTACTCCTGCAACCGTGAACCTAACCCTCCCTCTACTGACCCCTTCTCCCGCTTCCAACACACCCCCTCCTCCTGGACACCACCCCAAGGCCTCCTACCCTCCCTCGACCTCTTCATCTCCAACTGCCGTCGAGACATCAATCGCCTCAACCTCTCCACCCCTCTCACCCACTCCAACCTCTCCCCCGCAGAACGTGCAGCCCTCTGCTCCCTCCGCTCCAATCCCAACCTCACCATAAAACCCGCGGACAAGGGAGGCGCAGTTGTGGTATGGCGCACTGACCTCTACATCGCCGAGGCCAGATGCCAACTCTCTGATACCTCCTCCTAACGCCCCCTTGATCATGACCCCACCCCTGAGCACCAAACCATCATCTCCCAAAACATCCACAACCTCATCACCTCAGGTGACCTCCCACCCACGGCCTCCAACCTCATCGTTCCCCAACCTCGCACTGCCTGCTTCTATCTCCTTCCCAAAATCGACAAACCTGAATGCCCTGGTCGACCCATTGTCTCCGCCTGCTCCTGCCCCACCGAACTGATCTCCAACTATCTTCAACTATTTTCTCCCCCTTGGTCCAGGAACTCCCTACCTATGTCCGTGACACCACCCACGCCCTCCACCTCCTCCAGAACTTCCAATTCCCCGGTCCCCAACACCTCATCTTTACCATGGACGTCCAGTCCCTCTACACCTGCATTCCCCTTGCAGATGGCCTAAAGGCCCTCTGCTTCTTCCTGTCCCGCAGGCCCGACCAGTCCCCCTCCACTGACACCCTCATCTGCTTAGCCGAACTCGTCCTCACCCTCAACAACTTCTCTTTCAATTCCTCCCACTTCCTACAGACAAAGGGGGTGGCCATGGGTACCCGCATGGGTCCAAGTTACGCTTGCCTCTTTGTAGGTTACGTGGAACAATCCCTCTTCCATACCTACACCGGCCCTAAACCTCACCTCTTCCTCCGTTACATTGATGACTGTATCGGCGCCGCCTCGTGCTCCCACGAGGAGCTTGAACAGTTCGTTCACTTCACTAACACCTTCCACCCCAACCTTAAGTCTACCTGGACCATCTCTAACACCTCTCTCCCCTTTCTGGACCTCTCTGTCTCCAT